GACAACACTGTTCTAAGCAAACAGAGGATTTGCCTTTGGGTATGGAGAGGATATCGCAATCAGTTCATAAGGAACAAGAGGCTTGGAGCTGCAGAGCAGGCTGGAGTGAGATGGATATATATGGGACTTACTATCAGGAAAAGTGATGACAGAAACTAGTTTTTTCTCATTTCTTGCAAACCTCACCCATCACAAAGCCAATTTCTCTCAGAGCACTCTTGGCAAAACTGCATTTGAAAGAGAAACTAAGGATTTGCTCTCATCACAGAAAACAAGCTCACCTTGTCAAAAGCAGGGTAAACAGCTCGGATCTCCGTCAACCAGCCATATGGCATGTGCCCCACTGGATACGTCGCTGTCAAAATTGCTACTGCCTAAGGTGCAGAAGAAAGACAGAAGATTACAGTTCAAATCCTCAGAGACAACTTGCTTTTACACCTAATATTCAGATATTTCTATCACTGTTAGATCAGCAGTATTTTAAGACTGGCAAGCAAGCACCTGTTTCATGACCACAGTAGATGCAAACAACCGGGACTAGCAAGTAAATACCTGGATGCACGTATTATACTAAGTCGTAATATCAGTTGTTTAATGTTGACTTAATATGTATGAACCCCATAATTATGGTTTGTAAACTGTGAGTTATGGCTTAGTACATGGTGGCTTATTTAATAAAAAGCAGTTAAAGCAGACCACAGCATAGTACAGTGTATGAATCCAGCTTATGGCTTTCTACTGTAGAAAAATTATACGTGGCAACAATTCTAACGCAACTGCAACTGCTTTAAAAATATATACTTTGTCAGCTTCATTCTGCATTTTCCCACATCCAGTGAACCTCCTTGATTTGATGACTACTTTCTAGTGAAACGTGCTATAGCTGTTAATGGGGAGACACTGTTCAGAACTGTGCTAGAAATAAGCCAAACTATGCTTTATGAAGTTGTTTTGTTTCCATCACAATTTAGTCTTTTCATGATGCACTAAAATGTGATTAACTGAAAATGGCAATAGGAACCTCTGATTTTCTCATGACCATCCTGGAACATGAGGGAGCTCAAAACTGAAACTCATTACTGAACTTAATTTTAATTAAGTCTAATGATTTTTCCTCCAAGCCCCTCTTGATATTTTCTTGGAACATGGCTTCCAACACATGATTAAAAGTTGGGCGCACTCAGCTCATTCCACACATTTGGTCCAGGTGCATCTGCTCAGTTTTTGACATCTTTGTGGTGCTATTTCAATGCAATGCGAGACTTTTCCCCCCCCTAATTCTGCAATCCTGTATTTTCATGGAATTTCTCAGAACAAATACAACAGAAACATGCTAATCAGCATCTAGAAGAACAGCAAGAGATCCATCTGAGCTGGAAAGCAAGGGCTCAGCTGCATAAAGCACTGAGAATGCTGTATTCAATAATGAAAAGATCTTCAGTGAATGAACAATATTTATAGATCTTACCTAACTACTTGAAACTATCTATGTAATATGTTTTGGCAATCATGACTAGAAACACAAGCAGATGTGATTGCAGTGCGGATCAAACCTAACCTATAGCTCCCTAGCGATCTGCAATGTACCGTATCTTTCCGACTATAAGACGATACTTTTTTCTAAAATCCTTACGCTAAAAATTGAAGGGCGTCTTATGCAAGGAAGGTATCCGAGGAGAAACCCGCTCGGTTGCAAAACTGCCCATACTGTCTCTGCAAACAGACTTCCTCCAATCACGAGCCTCCAATCACGAGTGAAACTGCCCATACTGTCTCTGCAAACAGACTTCCTCCAATCACGAGCCTGATGTAACTGACG